TTAGGAGATAATGGGAGATAGTATTGTTGGGAACAAAAGTGGGAGGGTCATACTGGGGTGAGGAGACTGTACTAACATTGGGGCTGCACTGATTTGGCTGTGAGGCGTCTCCTTTAGGAGATAATGGGATATAGTATTAATGGGAACAAAAGTGGGAGGGTCATACTGGGGTGAGGAGACTGTACTAACATTGGGGCTGCACTGATTTGGCTGTGAGGCGTCTCCTTTAGGAGATAATGGGATATAGTATTGTTGGGAGCAAATGTTGGAGGGTTATACTGTGGTGAGGAGACTGTACTAGCATTGGGGCTGCACTGATTTGGCTGTGAGGCTTCTCCTTTAGGAGATAATGGGATATAGTATTGTTGGGAGCAAATGTGGGAGGGTTATACTGTGGTGAGGAGACTGTACTAGCATTGGGGCTGCACTGATTTGGCTGTGAGGCTTCTCCTTTAAGAGATAATGGGATATAGTATTGTTGGGAGCAAATGTGGGAGGGTTATACTGGGGTGAAGAGACTGTACTAGCATCGGGGCTGCACTGATTTGGCTTTGAGGCTTCTCCTTTAGGAGATGATGGGAGATAGTATTGTTGGGAGTAAATGTGGGAGGGTCATACTGGGGTGAAGAGACTGTACTAGCATTGGGGCTGCACTGATTTGGCTGTGAGGCGTCTCCTTTAGGAGATAATGGGAGATAGTATTGTTGGGAGCAAATGTGGGAGGGTTATACTGTGGTGAGGAGACTGTACTAGCATCGGGGCTGCACTGATTTGGCTTTGAGGCTTCTCCTTTAGGAGATGATGGGAGATAGTATTGTTGGGAGTAAATGTGGGAGGGTCATACTGGGGTGAAGAGACTGTACTAGCATCGGGGCTGCACTGATTTGGCTTTGAGGCTTCTCCTTTAGGAGATAATGGGATATAGTATTGTTTGGAGCAAATCAGGGAGGGTTATACTGTGGTGAGGAGACTGTACTAGCATCGGGGCTGCACTGATTTGGCTGTGAGGCGTCTCCTTTAGGAGATAATGGGAGATAGTATTGTTGGGAGCAAATGTGGGAGGGTTATACTGTGGTGAGGAGACTGTACTAGCATCGGGGCTGCACTGATTTGGCTTTGAGGCTTCTCCTTTAGGAGATGATGGGAGATAGTATTGTTGGGAGCAAATGTGGGAGGGTTATACTGGGGTGAAGAGACTGTACTAGCATCGGGGCTGCACTGATTTGGCTTTGAGGCTTCTCCTTTAGGAGATAATGGGATATAGTATTGTTTGGAGCAAATCAGGGAGGGTTATACTGTGGTGAGGCGACTGTACTAGCATCGGGGCTGCACTGATTTGGCTTTGAGGCTTCTCCTTTAGGAGATAATGGGATATAGTATTGTTTGGAGCAAATCAGGGAGGGTTATACTGTGGTGAGGAGACTGTACTAGCATTTGGGCTGCACTGATTTGGCTGTGAGGCTTCTCCTTTAGGAGATAATGGGATATAGTATTGTTGGGAGCAAATGTGGGAGGGTTATACTGTGGTGAGAAGACTGTACTAGCATTGGGGCTGCACTGATTTGGCTGTGAGGCTTCTCCTTTAGGAGATAATGGGATATAGTATTGTTGGGAGCAAATGTGGGAGGGTTATACTGTGGTGAGGAGACTGTACTAGCATTGGGACTGCACTGATTTGGCTGTGAGGCTTCTCCTTTAGGAGATAATGGGAGATAGTATTGTTGGGAGCAAATGTTGGAGGGTTATACTGTGGTGAGGAGACTGTACTAGCATTGGGGCTGCACTGATTTGGCTGTGAGGCGTCTCCTTTAGGAGATAATGGGAGATAGTATTGTTGGGAACAAAAGTGGGAGGGTCATACTGGGGTGAGGAGACTGTACTAACATTGGGGCTGCACTGATTTGGCTGTGAGGCGTCTCCTTTAGGAGATAATGGGATATAGTATTAATGGGAACAAAAGTGGGAGGGTCATACTGGGGTGAGGAGACTGTACTAACATTGGGGCTGCACTGATTTGGCTGTGAGGCGTCTCCTTTAGGAGATAATGGGATATAGTATTGTTGGGAGCAAATGTTGGAGGGTTATACTGTGGTGAGGAGACTGTACTAGCATTGGGGCTGCACTGATTTGGCTGTGAGGCTTCTCCTTTAGGAGATAATGGGATATAGTATTGTTGGGAGCAAATGTGGGAGGGTTATACTGTGGTGAGGAGACTGTACTAGCATTGGGGCTGCACTGATTTGGCTGTGAGGCTTCTCCTTTAAGAGATAATGGGATATAGTATTGTTGGGAGCAAATGTGGGAGGGTTATACTGGGGTGAAGAGACTGTACTAGCATCGGGGCTGCACTGATTTGGCTTTGAGGCTTCTCCTTTAGGAGATGATGGGAGATAGTATTGTTGGGAGTAAATGTGGGAGGGTCATACTGGGGTGAAGAGACTGTACTAGCATTGGGGCTGCACTGATTTGGCTGTGAGGCGTCTCCTTTAGGAGATAATGGGAGATAGTATTGTTGGGAGCAAATGTGGGAGGGTTATACTGTGGTGAGGAGACTGTACTAGCATCGGGGCTGCACTGATTTGGCTTTGAGGCTTCTCCTTTAGGAGATGATGGGAGATAGTATTGTTGGGAGTAAATGTGGGAGGGTCATACTGGGGTGAAGAGACTGTACTAGCATTGGGGCTGCACTGATTTGGCTGTGAGGCGTCTCCTTTAGGAGATAATGGGATATAGTATTGTTGGGAGCAAATGTGGGAGGGTTATACTGGGGTGAAGAGACTGTACTAGCATTGGGACTGCACTGATTTGGCTGTGATGCTTCTCCTTTAAGAGATAATTGGAGATAGTATTGTTGGGAACAAATGTTGGAGGGTTATACTGTGGTGAGGAGACTGTACTAGCATTGGGACTGCACTGATTTGGCTGTGATGCTTCTACTTTAGGAGATGATGGGATATAGTATTGTTGGGAACAAAAGTGGGAGGGTCATACTGGGGTGAGGAGACTGTACTAGCATCGGGGCTGCACTGATTTGGCTGAGAGGCTTCTCCTTCAGGAGATAATGGGATATAGTATTGTTGGGAACAAAAGTGGGAGGGTCATACTGGGGTGAGGAGACTGTACTAACATTGGGGCTGCACTGATTTGGCTGTGAGGCGTCTCCTTTAGGAGATAATGGGATATAGTATTAATGGGAACAAAAGTGGGAGGGTCATACTGGGGTGAGGAGACTGTACTAACATTGGGGCTGCACTGATTTGGCTGTGAGGCGTCTCCTTTAGGAGATAATGGGATATAGTATTGTTGGGAGCAAATGTGTGAGGGTTATACTGGGGTGAGGAGACTGTACTAGCATTGGGACTGCACTGATTTGGCTGTGAGGCTTCTCCTTTAGGAGATAATGGGAGATAGTATTGTTGGGAGCAAATCAGGGAGGGTTATACTGTGGTGAGGAGACTGTACTAGCATCGGGGCTGCACTGATTTGGCTGTGAGGCTTCTCCTTTAAGAGATAATGGGATATAGTATTGTTGGGAGCAAATGTGGGAGGGTTATACTGGTGTGAAGAGACTGTATTGGCATTGGGGCTGCACTGATTTGGCTGAGAGGCTTCTCCTTCAGGAGATAATGGGATATAGTATTGTTGGGAGCAAATGTGGGAGAGTCATACTGGGGTGAAGAGACTGTACTAGCATTGGGGCTACACTGATTTGGCTGTGAGGCTTCTCCTTTAGGAGATAATGGGATATAGTATTGTTGGGAGCAAATGTGGGAGGGTTATACTGGGGTGAAGAGACTGTACTAGCATTGGGGCTGCACTGATTTGGCTGTGAGGCTTCTCCTTTAAGAGATAACGGGATATAGTATTGTTGGGAGCAAATGTGGGAGGGTTATCTTTCCAACGGGTTTCATGACAAGATTGGTACCGACCCAATGGTATTTTAATCTCTAACACAGCGTGAGCCCCAATTCCGAGAAAAGACTACTGGAAACCACTAAAATGGGGTCTACTTTCCCTCTTCTTTTTGACCGGAAGTGTTTTCCTGACCTCAGTGTGTTGCTGATTTTTTCGATTTTTTCGTTTTTTTTCCTGGCTTGATTTACTTTTGATTTACTAATGATTACCTAAATGAATTATAAACAATTTAAACTCCTATCCTCATTAGATCAGAATTTATTAGTTTTCTATCCATCATTTGTTTACTTCCAGTTCGCTGTAGAATAAATATTTCTTGTAAACATTGACGAAAGCACATCATAATAGTTGTTAGTTCAAAATGCAACCCGGAGAATAGCAAATGTTTATTATCACAACTATAACATACGATGCAGATCATGATTTACCCACTAGTGTCATGACGGCAATTGCCATTATTATCTATTGACATGCGCACTTATGCTTCATAATTTCACGTCAATTGTCGTGCAACATGGCAATTGCCGTACTTCACATTAAATGGGGTTATCGTCTCAACTGTTGAATAAAGTATCTGTTTTCTTGCATTTCTATACAATTTAGAGTGTTGACTACATGCCTGTAAAGTTGTGTCTCCCTCACTAGACCCATTTTAATGTTATTTCTCAATTTAAAGTATGGCCCAGATGTGTTTAACATTGTGTAAATGGGATTCTGTAATGTAATAAAATCACACTACACATATGAGGTAAAGGAATGCATAGTGAGCAACATATGAAAAATACAAAACAACCAGGAAATCAACTGGCAAGTGCTACGTTCAGAGGTACCATTTGCATTCGTTTGACTTTGACAGAGGGTATATCTCTGCGTGCATGGTAATTCAGAGGGAACTTTGTTTGATAACAATATGCAAGATGAAATTATAATCCTCAGCTCTTTGATAGAATATTATAATAATCAGCACTGACAAGAATATATGATTTTGAAATTTAGCAACCCTACCCCTATATATCCGTCATAAAGCAGGTAATCGTATAAAAAATTGATAAAAGCAGTAAAATCTGATTTTTATTTATTTTCAGTTGCCCTGGGCCAAGATATCCCTGTGGACAGTACAGCACGCGTAGGAACAGACGTCACCTTTAATTGTAAAGACCAAGGCTATTCATACGTCCAATGGGTAGAATATGCCTCACAAGGTGATACAGGTGTCACTGTATGGCATACTGGTGGGCAAGTTTCAAATCCTGCCAAGTATGAAGTCGACTCTACAAGTGCCAATAAATATACACTCACTATTAAAAATGTACAGTTAACAGATGTAGGAAAGTATGAGTGCCGGACAATACCTTCAGCTGGACCACCAAAAGATTATGCAGCACATTTGACTGTAATAGGTGAGCTGTTCAATATTAATATCTATGAGTGCTTTTCCTGGAGATAATGCATTGGTCTAGAGCTGGCATCAAATGTCGGAATGGTCGATTGTCAGTCGAATGCTCTCTGCGACACCCATGTCGACACAATGCCTCTTGATCGACAGTCGGAACTCGCAACATAATAAGCTATTTTCCTATGAATTAAAATCTTTGTTACTACCTGCTGTATGGTGTATTTTAGTGAAGTTTTACCACCTACATTTTCAAATTTTCTTTTTTGTTTTGATCGACTTCCTGCTCTTGAATTAGGTCTCGGTGCTCCTCGAGATTTACCCTTGAGATTTATTTTCAATGGCTGCCCCGAAATAACAACAGAAATCGTAGTTTTATGTCTATTTATTGCTTTTTCGTCAAAGTCTGATACTTAAACATGGTTTACCTGTAAGTTAAATATAAAACATACAACTGAGGATGACTATTGTGCATTGTATTGCTAATTACAAGCCTAGAAAATCTAAAATTCAGACGGATTTTCTTCAAAATTTTTTTCATTTTTCGAATATCATTGGACCCGACAATGTTGATATCGTTGTCGATCGAGAGCTCCGACATGTCGACATTAAAATCCTATTGATGCCAGCTCTACATTGGTCTAACATATGCACCTGTTTAAATCCTCAGAAAATACTTTCCCTCCTCCTTTGAAATACCTGTAACTTTTTCCCATTTGTGAGTTGAACCATAATATTTGGCAAATCAATGTAACTTTGAATGAGCCTTAAAATGATATATGACAAATATTTTGGAGACTTTGGTATATATCTGCCTAGGGGGGGGGCCCATACTTTCGGGACACCCTGTTTCTCTGCGCGCAGGGTAATTCAAGGGGAACTTTGTTTGATAACAATATGCGAGATGAAATTATAATCCTCAGCTCTTTGATAGAATATTATAATTAGCAGCACTGACTAGAATATATGATTTTGAAATTTAGCAACCCTACCCCTAGTAGTTAGAGACCAATGCCTCTCTATTGTTTCAAAAAATTAACCCAACGTGTCGGTCTCTGTTAATTTATGGCATCCATACTTTTCTGAAAGGTAACACTTTGAGGTTCAATTTTCTGCCAGATGCCCTTGCAAACTCTCATTGGTTGCTCTGTATTGTAGCATTCCGTTACCATGGTTACGCATCTATAGACATCTTACCTTGGAATCTTAAATCATTTGTAGCTTTGTCAATATTTTGTCAATAGATATGATATGAGTATCAAATTAAACCTAAATAAATTTCTCATATACTTACAATATTCAATTATGCAAATTAGCTCATTTGCATAAATTGTGACGTCATAAATCTATTTTTGGTTCAGAATTTTCAAGTATAGCAATGTATCTTCAAGAACTGAAGCCGTACGGTAGAATTTCTTCAATGTTATGACTTTTATTCTATGAGCAGAAGGTTTAAGTAACATAAAAGTGAAAACAGATTCAAAATTGGATCAAAACTAACAAAGTTATTAAGCTTTCTGGGCAGCTACCATGAACGTCATCATTGAACAATTAACTTTAAACATCTTACCTTAGAATTGAAATGTTTGGTAGCTTTGTCATTATTTGGTCTATAGAAGAGATCTTGGTATCGAATTGATCCTAATTGAATAAACGGTATGGTAACGATATTCAATTATGCAAATTAGCTAATTTGCATAAATTATGATGTCATCAATCTATTTTGGGTTCAGAACTTCCAAGTATAGCAACAAATTTATGAGATCCGAGGTTGGATGGTGTCGTTTCTGCATAGTTTGTCATTTATTCTATGAGTGGTAGAGGTATGAGTAACATAAAAGAAATATTCAAAATTGAATGAGTATTAGTAAAGTAATTCAGCTTTTGAGGCAGCTGCTATGAACGTTACTATTTGACAATCATAAATAAAACACTGAAATAACAAAAATGAAATAAAGCTGATTCAAGCTTATTGAGTGAAAAATATATATTTTACATGTCACTGAATTAGTTGGTGTATAGAAATGATATGGGTATTCATAATTTTGACTATCATTGACAGGGGTCAAAACAGTTTTTTTGATTTTGTAACATGATTTATTGTTTGTGAGAAAGTTATGGATTAATCAGTTAGTGAATGGGTGAATGGTATGGTGAAATCTGTTATGTAATCTATAAATCTTTGAAATGATTTGCTTCATAGGCGTCAATCTATTTAAAAATGCGAAACATCGTGACTGGTCAAACATCAATATTTGTGCTGCAATTCAAGCAGTGAACATCTACATGAATTTTTAAACTGATTTGCTTCATAGGCGTCAATCTATTTAAAAGGATGAAACATCATGACTGGTCAAACATTAATATTTGTGCTGCGATTCAAGCAGTAATCATCTACATGACCTGTTCATACAAATTGATGAGGTTATATCACAAAATGTATGTCATTGCTGTTTTTTATGTCACCACCAAAAGCGGTGACATATTGTTCTCCATTTGTCTCTATTTTAAAGATGGCGTTTGACATCTGGTGTCTGGGGTTTGGCATCTGTAACAAATGGCAGGTTGTGACATTTTGCATGTTTTTCCTTGTTTGAATTATTTACAAAATGTTATAAAAAATATCAAAATAATATATATTTAAAAGCCTCATTTAAAAAAACAGCAAGAACATTCATTTTTTATGTCCCCATCACATAGTGTGGGGCCATATTGTCGGCCTAGGCGCGTCCGTCCGTCCGTCCGTCCGTCCGGCAGTTTTCTCCAAAACCGCTACAGATATCACCTTCAAATTTTCAGGGATAACTTATAAGTGCATACAGATGTGGATGAAAAAAAAATTAACTCGATACCTACTTCCTGTCGGCCATTTTGAAGTCAAATGCTAAAATCCTTATCTGCAAACTTTAAGAAAAACGGCTTCACAGTTGCTTTTAAAACTTTAAAATCTTGTTCAGCTCACTTCATTCTAGATCTGATTAGGTTTTGGACCTGTTAGCTCAGTCATGTCAGCCATTTTGAATGTTTTAAGAAAAGCTAGCACACGATAATACTTTGTATCATATTGAATGGTGTTTTTCAGTTTTCATACTTTAACTATTTAGTAGCTTCATAAATAATTCCAGGTGTACTTTGTTGTAAAAGCCTATGTTATTGTTAACAGTAGTTATATGTTATAATTTTGTGAGAAGAAATCAGCAAAAACTCATAATCACTTTTTTATTGTCGGCCATTTTGGATTTTTCCGTCCTAAAATCTTGTCTGTAAAGTCTTGTCTATGCATTTCCAGGTGAACCATTTGGTAGATCAATTTCAAATTTTCAGGGATGATTCTTAGTATGAAAATCTAGATCTGATTAGTTTTTATCCCATCGAACAAAGTTCGGAGGGATATAGGGAACGCCTCCGTCCGTCCGTCCGTCCGTACGTCCGTCCGTCCGTCCGTCCGTCCGTCCGTCCGTCTGTCCGTCCGTCCGTCCGGGCAATAACTCAAATACCGTTGGCCCGATTTTGTTCATATTTTGTACACATATACCCTATGGGGGTAGAAGTTCTGCTCGAAAGCCGATTTTCAAAATGGCCGCTCATTTCAAAATGGCGGCCATTTTAGTGCCGATTTTACAGTAATTTAGGTGTAATATATAAAACTGTAATAGCAATATGTTTTAAATGTAAAAAAATTATAAAGGACATTAATAATGCTACAAATGTAGATATTAAAGAAGCACATGGCAGCCATCTTGGAAAATGGCGGCCTTTACTCGTCATTTTACGATTTTTGCTATAACTCAAAAAATAGTGGAGCGATTTTGTTCATATTTGGTATGTGAATACTATAAGCATTGCACACTGTCTAAAGACACTTTTGGTAGAAGGCGGCCATTTTGAAAAATGGCCGCCATTTTAACGTATTTTTCTATAACTCGAAAAGTAGTGGAGCGATTTTGTTCATATTTGGTATGTGAATACTATAAGCATGGCACACTGTCCTATGACACTTTTGGTAGAAGGCGGCCATTTTGAAAAATTTGAAAAATGGCCGCCATTTTAACATATTTTACTATAACTTGAAAAAGTAGTGGAGCGATTTTGTTCATATTTGATATGTGAATACTTTAAGCATGGCACATTGTCTAATAAAACTTTGGGGAGTAGTCGGCCATTTTGAAAAATGGCCACCATTTTTATGTGTGTTATTTTACAAGTACGTGTGCGATTTTTCAAAAATTTTAGCTACTTTAAAGCATATTATTTCTTCTGATGACAACTTGGCTAGTGAGCAACCATTTTGAAAATGGTGGCCTTTCTGGTGTGTTGTTTTATTATATTTGCTATTCGTTTGTAAAAATGCCAGCCATTTCTGTTCGATGGGATTCGCTACGCTTTGGCGTTGCCGTTGTTCTGGTTGGGCATTCTGGGTAAATGTCAAGGCAGCCATTTTGGATTTTCCGTCCTAAAATCTTGTCTGTAAAGTCTTGTCTACGCGTTTCCAGGTGAACCGTTTGGTAGATCAATTTGAAATTTTCAGGGATGATTCTTAGTATGAACATCTAGATCTGATTAGTTTTTTGGCATTCTGGATAAATGTCAAGGCAGCCATTTTGGATTTTCCGTCTTAAAATCTTGCCTGTAAAGTCTTGTCTACGCGTTTTTAGGTGAACCATTTGGTAGATCAATTTCAAATTTTCAGGGATGATTCTTAATATGAAAATCTAAATCTGATTAGTTTTTTGGCATTCTGGGTAAATGTCAAGGCAGCCATTTTGGATTTTCTGTCCTAAAATCTTGCCCGTAAAGTCTTGTCAACACGTTTTTTGGTGAACCGTTTGGTAGATCAATTTCAAATTTTCAGGGATGATTCTTAGTATGAAAATCTAGATCTGATTAGTTTTTGGGCATTCTGGGTAAATGTCAATTAGGCAGTCATTTTGGATTTTCTGTCCTAAAATCTTGTTTTAAACTCTTGTCTACCCATTTCCAGATGAACCGTTT